AAAAAAAAGAGAATATGAGATTACTTTCTCTTATATTCACATACTATTAAACATGATTTCATTTAGATTTTCTGCTTAGTAATTATGGCAGAATTGATTATCAAGATATTTAAGAGAATAGATATTTAATGATGTGCCATTTTGTTTAGAAATTAATTTAAATAAGTTTTTCATTGTGTTATAACTGATGTATTACATTAATATCGGGTATATAGCATAATGATTTGATATTTATATGTATTATGAAATGGTCACCATAATAAATGTAGTTGACATACATATACACAAAATTTTTTGTGTGTGATAAGAGCACATAAGTTTCAAATAGGTGTGAATTTTTTGTAATGACAGACTGCTTCACAAGCTTAATAGATTGGTAATAGTGACTATTTGGAATTGTTTTATTGGTTAAAAATTGAATTTGCATGGGGTAAATAGAGTGTAACACTGTTAATTCAGTCTATGGACAAGACACCCTGTTGTTCAAGTGAAGTGACCATTCAAGTTGTGTAAGGTGGAAGTGGAAGGCAAAAGAACCTTTGTTCTTTGATGCATATTAGAGAGCTTACACACTTGTTTGCAAAAGAAAATAAATTTTTGAATTCCTTTTTCTGAAAGATCTGGAATCACTATTTTGTTAAATTGCTTTCTGAAAATACGCTTTTGTTGTCCTTAATGGTTGTACCAATTAGTAAAACCATTCTATATTTAAGAATTTAAGTTGAATTGGCAGGTGACAGAAACTCATTGTGAAGTTGTAATAAATCTTTTCTGTGTTTATTTTTTATTGTTATCTTAAAGGTGAACTTAAAAAGAGCACTTTGATTTTCCTAAAATACTGTAAATTTAAACAAATATCATTAATTATCAGGTATGGCAATGTGGTGGCAGTTGGAGATTATGCCTTGCTCTGTTGTTGGACATGTTTTTCGCAGCAAAAGCCCTCATACCTTTCCAAAAGGCACTCAGGTGATTGCTCGAAACCAAGTTCGCCTTGCAGAAGTCTGGATGGATGACTATAAGAAAATATTTTATAGGAGAAACACAGATGCAGCAAAAATTGTTAAACAAGTAAGTTAAAGCTAGGTGATTAATAAAAGTCAACACTAATTTCGCATATCTTTTTACTTATTTGAGTTAACCAAAGTACAAAGCATTGAAAGAAGTTATATTAGGGCCTCTTTGGTAGCCTAGGGTGTTAAGTCTGAGCACTAACAAGCTGTTGTCAGCCACTATGGCCTGAGTTTGATCCCCAGTTTGATCCCTGGGCAGGGAGCTACCCACATGGCACAGCAGATCCCTCCTGTCTCACCCACTGCTCCCCTCAGCAGTGTATATAAGTGGATCTGCCTATTCTGCTCCATCCTCTGTCTCTGGTGAATCCTCTCACACCCTGCCCACCCCCCCACCTCTGGCCTACACCCCAGTTCTTGTATGCGTAAATTTAAAAAAACTATATTTGAAGCTTTTTTTTTTTTACTTTTAAAATAGATAACTTAATAATGTCAGCTTATTCTTTTCTTAGGAAAAATTCAGTAAACATCTTTTTAAAAATTTAGGCATTCTGTATCTTTTTTAATATGAAAGATACCTAGTTTTTGTTACTGCCTTGATTCAATATGGTACTCAAGAAAAATAAGATTAAGTGGAACTTTTGGTTTTAGGTGATGTAATAACACCTAAATCAAAGTACTAATTGGCTTTTTGAGCTGGAGAGAAAAGCAATGTCAGAATGTGGCAGAAGAATGAACCAAGATATCAAGGCCCTTCTTTTCCCCCTTGAGTTCTGGTTCTACTACTCATAGGAATCAGTACTACTCACTGAACTTTGCAACCTGTTCAGTGAATGGCACCCAATGCTTTGTAAGAAATATTGCTGAGTCTCAAGGAGGTGTATAATGGCATTAAAGGGCATCAACATTTTTTTAAAAGATTTATGAACTTTGGTACAGGCTAGAGGTATGTGGGGGGGTGGGGCGGTGAGAGGATTCACCAGAAAGAGTGGGGAACAGAACAGGCAGGTTGACTGAAATACACTGCTGAGGGGAGCAGTGGGCAAGACAGGAGAGGTCTGCTGCGCCATGTGAGTAGCTCCTTGGCCAGGGATAGAACTCGTGCTGCAGAGGCTGTGGATAGCTTCATAGGTTGCGTCTTAACCCCTTGCGCCACCAGGGAGGCCCCGGCATCAACATTTGGACTGTCATAAACGAAGATCTGGTTACCTCTTTCCACCACCTTTTCTTTGATCTCTGCTGTCTCACTAAAACTTGTCAGTAAGATACAAAGGCAGAGAAATACTAAGTTAGATCACTCTTATTTTACCCCTGGCCACCAAGACAAATTGGGCATATCGTGTACTATCCAAGGTACTTGGAGAAGCAGGAAAGTGGCACTAAATACAGCTTATACTTTTTTTCACCCTCAGAGGGTAAAAGGGTGAGTGAGCCAGTAAACCCCTGTTTTTTACCACAGGGAAAATAGATCTATGTGGTAAAATGCATAAGCTGGCCAAAAGTCCTCTAAAGTTTCATACTTTTGCTAAACACCTGGGTTCAAGGCATTAAAGTTGGCATAAGAAAATATTTTCCTTAGTTGAAATGATAAGCTTGAGTATTTACCTTCCATATACTTTGGTATCACATAGCATATATTTCTTTGAAGTGTTGCCTTTAGATCAAGTATATTTTAAGGTTAATAGTGCCTTTTAAAATTAGTTCCTTAAATAAAGGAAAATTGAATGCATTGAATCAAAAATTGCCCTTTTCTACTAATACATTGTTATTGTTAGGATACTCTTTGGGGTAAGTACACTTTAAGTATATTTATTTTACTTAAGTAAAATAAAATACATATTTAAATTAAGTAAGTATACTAAACGAAAAAAATTATTCCCAACTATGTTGTAATTTTGTGGTTTTGAGTAGAGAAGAGAGAGAAATTGCATGATGTGTTGGCACTGTTTCTCTGTACCTGATTTCTCACACCTTGCTTTACAGATCTCTTTGAGGTATAAAATTGGGGTCAATTTTGGATGCTCTCATTATCATTTCTTTCTTCTATGGGGGAGTCTTGTGTAGAAAGGAAGAGTGAAATAGCCCTATGTCAGCACTCCAGTGGTACTTGGTTTGCTTTGAAGCCAGAAATGAACAGGCAGGCATACTTTTTGCCTGAAAGGGTGGTAATGCAGTTAAATTGCATCTTGCACTTTGGTCCTGAATTTTTTTTAATGCTATAATAAATACAAATAGCATTTGAAGTACTTTATAAGTGCTTTTTTGATTAAGCATTCCCCTTACTTCTCATCCTTCTCCAGAAATCATTTGGTGATCTCTCAAAAAGATTTGAAATAAAACACCGCCTTCAATGTAAAAATTTTACATGGTATCTGAACAATATTTATCCAGAAGTGTATGTGCCAGACCTTAATCCTGTTATATCTGGATATGTGAGTATTTTCCTGCTCCTTTTTACTTGGTATACTTGCCACCAACATTTATGTGGTTCATGAAAAATTGTTGAAATACTTTCTGGTTTATTGCTTTTGAGAGTTTACATTATTATTAATACTGCTTCCTGAAATAAAAAATATATGAACCACGTAGATTAAAAGTTTTTTTCTTATAACTTGAAAATTTTCCTTTAGATTAAAAGCATTGGTCAACCTCTATGTCTGGATGTTGGAGAAAATAATCAAGGAGGCAGGCCGTTAATTTTATACACATGTCACGGACTCGGAGGAAACCAGGTGAGCAGAGCATTAAAAATCCTGACTTCTCATTAGCACTTACAAACACACATAAGTTGTTGCATATTTTAGAAAAGTCCTAAAACAGTTTTTTAATTCCGGTAAACTGGTGTGTGGAATGTGTTCAGATTGGTTGGCAATTAATATCAAAGTTGTAACTCTGATTTTTTACTCTGATTCTAAAAACAATTTGAAGTTGCTTACCTATTAAGTAGAAGCAAATGAAAAAAAAAAAAAAAACAGTAGAAGAATGACATTTGGAATTGAAAAAAATAGGATCTTCTATGAAGATCTTTGAAGTTGCATGACTATTGGCATGACAGTTTTAAAACATTATAAGAAAGGCTATATTTAACAGGATTCAGTAGCAATTGCATTAAGTGTCAATACCAAAAAAGCATCATACATTATTTTTGCTATTGTGGGCCAATAGTATTATTTCAGTATGTTCTTAAAAGCTATGTGCTGTCCTTGATTCTCCTTGATCAATCGCATCTCTACATTTTACCACTCTTTTACAAATTGACTCCATATCAAATGTCACTATTTAGCCTACTAAATAGAAGCTGAAAGGATACATTTCTCTATGGTTAAGTTATAAGGTATAATTTTTAAATTGGGTGGACACACATGTATCCCACACATACACATACATACACATATAACTATATGTAGGGTCAGGAATACCACAGTGCAGGTTTTCTGATCCAACAGACCGGTAAAGGAGGAGTCAGAGTCCTCAGTGGCTTTTGCAGGCTTTTATTGGGATTTACCAGGTACACGGCAGGTAAGGGGGCCGGGGGGCTGGGAGGCTTGCCAGCCGGCAAGCCTTCACTTTTTCTGGGCTCTCTGGCCTTCTCTTGCATTCTCTCTGATTTCCTGCTTCTTCTCTCTCTGCTTCTGTTTGTTCTTCGCTTCTGCTGGCGTCCCCACGACGCCGCCCCTATAAACTCAGTCTCTCAGCCCAGGTGTACCCACTTCAGGTGCCCACCATCAGCCATGCATTCAGGACCACAGGGTTCCCTCATCTATCCTAATGGCGGGAGGGCTGAAAAGCTTGATACTTTTTCCTTACCCTACACTATAGCTACATACTATATAACTGTGTAGCTATGAATATGTATACATACATATATGCATGCACATGTTTGCATATATATGCATAATTAAATTTTTTCCTTTCTCTTTATATATTAAGAAAATTATATATTTCCATTCTTTTAGAAATAACACTAGACAGGCTGCCATACTTCCCGGAGCACCTGTACCCGGGGGCTTGAGCCGGCCAGCGGTTGCCGCACGGGTTTCTGGTGGGGACGTGGGGCTGGTGGCCACGGCCTCTGGTCTGGGATGAGCCGCGCGCTCAGTGGAGGCAGGAGAGCTGAGCCGGAGCCATGGCCAGTACAATGGTAGCAGCTGGACTGACCATTGCTGCTGCAGGATTTGTAGGCCGTTATGTTTTGCAAGCCATGAAGCATATGGAGCCTCAAGTAAAACAAGTTTTTCAAAGCCTACCAAAATCTGCTTTCAGTGGTGGCTATTACAGAGGTGGATTTGAACCAAAAATGACAAAACGGGAAGCAGCATTAATATTAGGTGTAAGCCCTACTGACAATAAAGGAAAAATAAGAGATGCTCATCGACAAATTATGCTTTTAAATCACTCAGACAAGGGAGGATCTCCTTATATAGCAGCCAAAATCAATGAAGCTAAAGATTTACTAGAAGGTCAAGCCAAAAAAAATGAAGTAAATGTTATGATGAATTTTAAGTTCTTAGCAGTTTATGTATAAATGCCAACTTTTTAATAAAATGCTTCAAAACTATAAATCTTAAAAATTATTTAGCATAAACTAAAAGCCTTTGGATAAGATTTTTTTTGTTTAAATTGAGCCCTACATGAGGGCTTTAGATCATTGTAAGTAGCTGATGCAAATATAAATCAGACTATTTGTAAATCATAAAATTTGGAGATTAATATTCAGTTATTGATAAACAAATGCGATTTGAATAACAATACTGTTCACTACTCATTAAATTTTGTACCTACTTGAAGGCAAAAAAAAAAAGAAATAACACTAGACAGTGGTAGGGAAACATTACCTCACTCATAAAACTCATCATTAAAGGAAAATATTAATACATTTCTCTCAGATTCCCTCTAACATTATTGTACAAGTTGCTATATTTTATACATTATTTTGTTCTGTTTTTCCTCCGTCATAAATAGACTATAGCTTGTAAGGGCAGGAACGGGCACACACGCATCCACACACACACACGCGCATCCACACACACACACACACACACACACACGCGCATCCACACACACGCGCATCCACACACACACACACACACACGCGCACACGCGCACACGCGCGCGCGAAAGAAGGGCCGAAGTACACTGCTGAGGGGAGCAGCGGGCCACAGGCGAGGTCTGTGCGCCTGGTGGCCGGGGAGCAGCCGGGATCGAACCAGCGCTGCGGAGGCTGCGGGCAGCTTCGCAACCCAGTGCTCAACTGCTGCACCACCGGGGAGGCCCTCCTTCCCTCAGCTTCTATTCGGCTTCTATTCTGCTTCTCTGCTTCTGCAGGCGTCCCCCTGACACCACCCTTATAAGCCCAGTCTTAGCCCAGGTGAATCCCATCTCCCTATGCCCACACCCTACTCCAGGTGCCCGCCATCAGGCATGCATTCAGGACCGCAGGGTTCCGTCATCTATCCTAATGGCGAGAGGGCAGAAAAGCCTGATACTTTTACCTTACCCTACATAGCTGCTTTCAGAAATTTTGTGGAGAAATGATTCAAATATTTTTTCAAGTATTTGTGCAGTGTAACTTATGCTGTTACAGCATTGAAAAAGACAAAGTTTTTGATCCTGGTAGATCTTTTCTTGTAGAAGGAAAGGAAAATATACATATGTAATTTAGGGTATGAATATAAATTAAGCAGGATAGGGGATAATGTGTCTGTGGGAGGTAGTTATTTTTCGGAGTTCAAAAGGACCTCTCTGAGTAGGTGCTGTTAGAGTAGAGGCTTGAAGGAGTTGGCAGGAGGACCATGTGCCAAGAGGAAAGCATCCAGGCAGAGGAGTGGCAAAGCTAGAGCCCCAGGGGCAGGACCTTGGAGCAAGCAGAGAGCCAGTGTGACTGGAACAGAGTGGTCCAAGAAAAAAGGGATAGGGAATGAGCACAAACCTGGCCATGGAAGGCTTTTCAGGCTTCATTAATGAACTTGCACTGAATTTTGAGAATGACAGAAGCCATTAGAGGGTTTTGAGAAGAATCGTGTTTTCAGAAGATAACTGCCTTCTCTCTTCCAGCACACAGCTCTTGGTTTTATTTTGGTTTATTTCCTTTAAATTTTATTTCAGTCAAGCATTGAATTTAAACTAGTTTGCAAAATTATTTCCTTGAGTGCTCAATATTTCTGATATATCATATAACTTGATCTTTTTCCCATGCTTCTTTCTATTATTTTGACTACATAATGAAACTCTTATAACATGAAACTCCATTGTCACAGGATTTGTATATGCCATGTAAAAAAAAGTATTTTGATGATGTGACTAAATTGACTAAGGAACTACTGGTACAGTGTATTTTAAGGCACTATCACTTTATAACTCTTAACTGCTTTGCTTCTTTTACTTTCTCTTCGAGGGCATTTGTCCTAGTTCTAAATTATATATCTCCAATGTTCTCAGCTAACTAATATTCTTCTTAGTCAACTAAGTACCTTCAACTATTTTCTGTACTTTATAACTTCCCTTTTAATCATTTTTTAAAAATGGAGATGAAGTAAAATTCTAGATACCCTTTCTTACCATATTCAAAGGTTCACTTTTCTTAGAGATGTATAGCTTGAGAGAAGTTTTCACGATCTAAACCCGTTTTCTTCCAGTGTCTCCCTCTGAAGGACTGTCAGTTATAAAAATGGCAGGTATTTTATTTGTTGAAGGAAATAATGAAGGGTGAGACTAAAACCAGAGGTCATAATACATGATTCTGTTAATTGAATTGTTTGTGACGTGCCTACTTTTATACTCATAAAGGCTTAGAACAGTTCCTGCCTAGCATATTAACAAGGACTCACTAAATATCTTTGAAACATCAACACCGTGAAGTATTTTATTTGTAATGGATGTTATTACTAGATACTTTACCCAATTGTGGTCTGTGGGGAAGACAGCTAGCTACATACACAATTCCAGCAGGATGCTAGAAAAGGCAGAGAAGGATCAGGATATTCTCAACAGAGCACAGTGACTCAAAGTCTTAGAGTAATGAATATGCTTGTTCTACCTTGGTAGAATTGTATGAAAGGAGGAAAGTAAATAATTGAGGCAATGGTTAATGTGAAATTGAATATGGAAGATTTCATGCACCAATTAGGAGGGTGGACTTCATCTTAGCAAAAATCATGACTCACTTAGGCAGGGGAGGTAGAGGAATCAAATCAGTGTTATGAAAGTCTGTCAGCAGAATGGATTGGATTATAAAAACAGAAACTGGAGGTTACTGGAGTTGTTACAGTAGAGATTCTGAGGCCTGAGCATGAGGAGTTCTGAGAACACAAAAGTCAGGGTGAGTGGGATGGTAGCATTTGAGAGGAAAATCCAGTAGTACTAAAGGACTAAAAAAAATGGATGCAGGAGGAGGAAGTAGTGTCAATAATAGCAACAATGGCCAAAATATATTGAATGCTTCCAATGTCAGTTATTGTTCTAAGTATTTTACTCATATCAACCCATTTGTAGTCATAACCCTATGGGGTAGGAGACACTAAATTACCCATTTTATAGGTGAACAGACTGAGGCATGAAGAGTACCCCATTTAAATGTTCCTGGTTTAAAGAAACTATGAGATGAATAAGAGAGAAAGAATACTTGTAGAGAGGAAGAGGGAATTAAGGTGCTTACTAGAAGTTTCCAATACTGGAGTAGATGTCATAGTCTCCATCTACCTGATAACTTACAATTTCTGATATGGGGAGAAAGACAATACATTCTTAATTAACTACCTGCCTGTTGGTGAATAGCTGGAGAGGTATTTCTATGGTACAAATTCAGTTTATGATTCTGGTACCTATTTTTAAAATATATCATTTTGTTGAAATAGGCCTGACATATCATTCAGTAAGTTGCTGCTTTTTTTTTTTTTAAGATTTATTTATGCATACAAGAACTGGGGTACAGGCCAGAGGTGTGGGGGGGTGGGAGGATCCACCAGAGACAGAGTGGGGAACAGAACAGGCAGATTGACTGAAGTACACTGCTGAGGGGAGCAGTGGGCAAGTTAGGAGAGGTCTGCTGCGCCATGTGGGTTGCTCCCTGGCTGGGGATCGAACTCGTGCTGCAGTGGCTGCGGATTGCTTCATAGGTTGCATCTTAACACCTTGTGCCACCAGGGAGGCCCAAGTTGCTGCTTTTTTTTTAAATTTATTTTTATTTATGCATACAAGAGCTGGGGTACAGGCCAGAGGTGCGGGGGCAGGGGTGGTGTGTGTGTGAGAGGATTCACCAGAGACAGAGTGGGGAGCAGAACAGGCAGATGGACTGAAATACACTGCCGAGGAAAAGTAGCTTGCGAGATAGGAGAGGTCTGCTGCACCATGTGGGTCAGCTCCCTGGCAGCTCCCTGAACTCAGGCTGCAGTGGCTGGCAATAGCTGGATAGCGCTGTGACTTTAACTCCTGTGCCACCAGGGAGGCTCGAGTTGCTGCTTTTAAAAAGAATTGTACCGCTGTCAGCCAATGTTGTCTCAATTTAAAAAATATAAAGATTGATTTGTCAGAAAACAAATAATTTATCAATAAATATGTAAGAAATAAAAATAAAAAATAAAAGAATTGTACGATTATATTACAACCAAGCATAGGCGGTGCTTCTGTCAGTAATCACATTCTTCCTTTTGTAGTACTTTGAATATTCTGTTCAACGTGAAATTCGGCATAACATCCAGAAGGAACTATGTCTTCATGCTGTTCAGGGTCCCGTTCAGCTGAAGACATGTTCCTACAAAGGTCACAAGACAGTTGCCACTGGAGAACAGATATGGGAGATCCAGAAGGTACCTAGTATAGTTAATTCATGCCTTTATGTAATTATTTTGATTAGCTCTAAATCCTTACTGCGGAAAATGTATGAAACAATATAGTAATGTTAGAATTTCTCTTTTTTTTTTAACTTTGTATGTCTCCCAAGTGATAAAAAAGAATACATTATGAATTAAATACTCTTAAGAGCAAAATCATTATAAAGTTGCTTAAAGCATGGGTTTATGCAGATCATCACATCTATGAATTATTAATAACAGTTGCCCATATTTGTCTTTTTAGAAGTTTCTTGTAATGCTTCTTGTCACAGCCACATATATATTTTTTCCTGTCAGAAAGAAAAAATCATTTTTTTCTCACGTTAAGTGACTAATTCTTCTGCTGTTTTAGTAATTTTTCTTGAAACTTAGAGTAAGAAAATACACGAAAGGTCCTTTCTGTTTTTAAACATATGTTTTAAGGATTAGTTTGAACATAGCATTTCTTACCTAAAAATGTTTTTTATAATACCATAAGCCTTACTTTTATGATTTATGATTTTTTAAGAGTTTGTCACTTACGGGTGTATGAGTTGAAGATTTCTAGTCTGAAAGAACCAGATCTTGTCTGAAAGATTCAGACCTCATTCTACATACCTCATTCATTTATGTAACACTATCTACAAATTGAACAGTATAGGTATAACTGGTGCTGTTTACACCAAAAACCCATAAGATTTAATGACATATAATTGATCTTTGAAAGATTAAAGGTTAAAAATTGTGTCTCTATAGTATGCAAGTCTCTCTTTAGCTTCACTGAGACCACGAAGTTTTTTTTGTGTTTGAGTTAATTGTGAGTCTTGAAACTTAATGTCTGTTTTGTTTTCTTTTATTCTAGGACAAACTTCTATACAATCCATTCCTTAAAATGTGCCTTTCAGCAAATGGAGAGCATCCAAGTTTAGTGTCATGCAATCCATCAGATCCACTTCAAAAATGGGTTTTTAGCCAAAATGATTAAGTGTTCCTTAAAATTAAGGAGTTGAAAGAGGAGATATTCTTTCTCATAAAACTGTGACTAGGCATATACACTGTAGTTTTTGAAATTATGCAAAAGCAGCTAATTGTAACTTATTCCAAGTGCATTTTTCTTATTTATATCTTTAAATGCCTACATAGCACTACTATAGAAATCCTTTAAGGTTCCGTTTCAAAGCACAATGACTAGTAATACCAAAGACTATTTTGAAATGTCCAGATGTAGGGAAAGAGATGTTTACAATATGATGAAAATAACTTTCCAAGTAAAGTGAAGTGTGTGTGTTTTGTACACTTGAGATATGCATAGCTATATTCACATACAATTGAAAATATTTCTAGTTTTGTGAGGGGAGGGAAAAATATTTGATACTGTATTTTTTTAACTACATTGAAATAGATCAATGAAAGTCAAACATTGGTCTTTGTGTACAAACCAGGAATTTTTTATAGCTCTAGAATTTATTATATAAAAATGCAGGTAAACATTTTTTGCCTTTTGTTTACTTATCTGTTAAATGTTTTCTTAAACATGAAATAAAATGAATAAGAATATTTTTAACCACTTCAATATTTTCAATATCTTGGCAAATTTTTAGATGTTTTTTAATCTGAAGCCCACTTGAATTGAAGCACTTGTCTTCCTTAAATTACCTTCCCTAAATAACTATATTGTGTATTCCCAAAGCAATTAAAAAAAAAACCTATCAATTACTATCTGTTGAAAAGGTGTCTTTCCTTTATGCTAGTCTTTTTTTCATATCAAAGTTCACTAATCTTGAATGTTTATAAAATTGAATTTCAGATGTAGAATACTTGACTTATTTAAAGCTACATTTTGTTACTGATTCAATTATAGATTGTTTTGTAATGATTTTTTTTCTCATCAGAAAACCCCATTTCTATCTATGTGGATACCACAATAAAAATCTTATCACTATTGTAATTATTTGGCTTAGTTTTTTCTCTTTTGTATAAAATATATAATTAATAGTGGGTGAAGGCAGCATGAATATTGTATACTGAATTTCTAAGCACCAATTGTAGAGCCACTGGATACTTCTTTAAAAAAACCCTCAAATATTTGATAGTAATTATATCATAAAAAATTGGAAATGGAGAAGATTCTGTGTTATATATTTAGAAAATTTTATACTAATTTCTGATAACTTTCCTCAACCATCTCATAAACTAATTTTTTAAATGTAGTCTTCCTTAGATTTAATAGTTTTTGTTTCCTTTTAATCATTTTATATATAGATCTCTTATATCCTTATTTAATGATATTAGCTTCATATTTTAAACATGGCAGAATTTCAATTGTTTAAAAGAATGTGTTGGGGGGACATCATCTAATTGTTTGTAACATTGAACTTGCTTTTAAAACCTGCATTTAAAAATGTCTATGCCAACTTTTATTTCAATTCAGCCAGCATATATTGTGTGTCTTACTTTGTGCCAGCAGTTAAGGTACTAAGAGTGACATTTAAAGTGCCTTTGACCTCCCCGTGGCACAGCGGTTGAGTGCTGGGTTGCGAAGCTGCCCGCGCCTCTGCGGCGCTGGTTCGATCCCCGGCTGCTCCCCGGCCACTAGAGGAGGGTCCCACATGGCGTGCAGACCTCTTCTGCCGCTCGCTGCTCCCCTCAGCAGTGTACTTTGGTCCTTCTGCCTGCTCTGCTCCCCGCTCTGGCTCTGGTGAATTCTCTCACCCTCCCGCGCTTCTAACTGTACCCAGTGCATGTAAAAACAAAACAAACAAACAAACAAACAAACAAATAAATAAATAAAACATTCCTCTATTAAAAAAAAATAATAAAGTGTCTTTGAGCAGAAAGACAGACAAATGCTTTGGAGAAAGCATAGTTAATGATGGCCTGATATTATATTTTATGATGCAGATTACAATTCACTCTTTACATTATTTAATATGTGAAGACATGTATTATTATAGCTAATACTAATATGTATTGTGAAATGTATACCAATGCTCACTTACATGTACAAATTCAGGTTTTTTTCCAAAGATTTATTTATTTATACATACAAGAACTGGGGTACAGGCCAGAGTTATGGGGGTGAGAGTATTCACCAGGGACAAAGTAGGGAACAGACTGAAACGCACTGCTGAGGGGAGCAGTAGACGAAGCAGGAGAGGTCTGCTGCACCATGTAGACAGCAGACCTGGCCAGAGACCAAACACGTGCTGCAGTGGCTGCCTTGAGCTTCATAGGGTGCATCTTAACCCCTTGTACCACCAGGGAGGCCCACAATTTCAGTTTTTCAATTTGTTACTCTAGAGTGAATATCCAGGAGCAAATATTCCTGTTAGAACTTGTTATATCTTAAACAATTCTAAAATCCTCAAGCATATTTTATAAATGAACTTGACATAAAACATATCTAAAACAAACAAATCTGAGTGACCTCCTTGTATTAGTCACATGTTGCCTTGTCAAGATCCATCCAAAATCTATTATTGTGATTAAATTAAATGTATTCAAAAGGGCTGTCCTTTTTATCTGATTTGGGACCTCAGGCTGTTGCTCAAGTGTCATATTGGTCATTTAATTTGGGATTTGCCTTTTGGGGTGGGTTGTGTCTTTTAAAAGTCTGAGTTTTGCAACAATGCTAGCAGAAAGTTATTTTTAGAGCCTGACTGCTATCACCCTGAGTGATTTTGAATGCATTCAAGTGGGAAAATGTGGAACTCTTGTTCAAGTTGAAGCTACAGTGACAAGGGATCTAGTTGTTACAGAAGATCTGCCACGTTGCCTTCATTCCAAAGCACTAAGTGACAAGAACTCTAGAGGGAAAACTCACTGTCAAACGTGCTAGTGTCAAAATGGTGGGTGGACTCACTGAAAACAGGGACCACTCAATTTACAACAGTTAAAAATAAGCAGCCTACTGAAATTGCCTGTTACTACAATGATGATGATGAACTGTTAAGTCCCTTTATCACCAGAGGATTTGCCTTACTGTTTTTGTTTTTTATTTTAAAGATTTATTTATTTATGCATGTAAGAGCTGGGGTGCAGGCCAGAGATGTGGGGGGGTGAGAGGATTCACCAGAGACAGAGTAGGGAGCAGAACAAGCAGATCAACTGAAATGCACTGCTGAGGGGAGGAGTGGGCGAGACAGGAGAGGTCTGTTGGGTCAGCCATGTGGGTCAGCTCCCTGGCCAGGGATCCAGCTCATGCTGCAGTGTCTGTGGATAGCTTCATAGTGCTGACACTTAACCCTTTGCACCACCAGGGAGGCCCCTGCCTTACTGTTTTTAGACAATTCAATTAAATACTATGTAAACTACCAAAATGTAAGTGCAAAAAGGTGGGGAACTAGCATTTCTGAGTGAGTTTGATTGAATGCTTTGGGAAAACTAGAAAAAAGGTCAAGTAACTTGCATATGCTGAGAATATTTTACATTTTCCTTTCATAATCTATTTTTTTAAATATTTATTTTTGCATAGAACTGGGGTATAGGCCAGACATGAGGGGGGTAGGTAAGAGGATTCACCAGAGACAGTGGGGAGCAGAACAGGCAGACTGACTGAAATACACTGCTGAGGGGGGAGCAGTAGGTGAGACAGGAGAGGTCTGCTGCACCATATATGGGCTAGCTACCTGGCAGGGGGTTGAACTTAGGCCCTACTGGTGACAGTGCTGAGACTTAACCCGTAGGCCAACAGGTAGGCCTTCATAATCTATTTTTATAAGATTCCTTAAAGCATCTTAAATCTGTTTACTTTGGAGATAATAGTTAAGAATAGATAAATAACAGATAAGAATATCTTGTGTTGGGCCTCCCTGGTGGTGCAAGGGGTTGACGCAACCTTTAAAGCTATCTGCAGCCACTGCAGCGCGAGTTTGATCCCTGGCCAGGGAGCTACCCACATGGCGCAGCAGACCTCTCCTAACTTGCCTGCTGCTCCCCTCAGCAGTATATTTCAGTACATCTGCCTGTTCTGTTCCCCACTCTGTCTCTGGTGAATGCTCTCATCCCCCTACACCTCTGGTCTGTACCCCAGATCTTGTATGCATAAATAATCTTTAAAAAATAATAATTAAAAAAATAATGTCTTGTGTTAGTGCTTATTTCATGAGTTGTAATTTTTCTTATATACTTCTATGCTTAACCTACTTTTGACTAGTAACCCACTATTGTGGAAAAGCATTATGTCTGGGAGGATACATAAGGCAATGTAACTTGGTTAATTCTGGATGGTCTGATAGTCTTGATATCTTGTATTAACTTTATAGCTTCGATTAAAAAGCAATGGTGTTTATCATCAAAGAAAGCTAGACTTAGATTATTAATACATTAAAGGCACTAGCATTCTGTCAGTTTGAAAATACTGGATCTGACTTGAATTCTGTCTACATCCCCATGTCCTTGCCAGCAGCAAATCCTGTCAAACTTAGTTGCAAAGTACATTTGAAATCTGACCATTTGTCACCCAGTTTCTACTCTGATCCAAACCACCAACAAAAAAGCAACAAAAACAAAATGTAAGAGCATTTTGAATACTTTGTCCACTTGCTCTTCACCTCCTAATTATAAAAATTTGAAAAAGTCTAGATGCATTCTAAAAGGTAGAAGGAGATGACTATTTTTATTTACTATGATGCATTCATTTGGTTTCTGGCACAAAAAAAGGTGAAGAATATTTTTTGTAACACTGTTAGCTCATGCACATCACTGTTGAAAGGTCTCCTTTCCTGTACAAATGACAAGTAACTGAAATATCTGCAGGAGATGTGACTCACTAGAAGACAAGAAGAGATACCCAAAATTCCTCATGAACTCAGGGTGAGCAAGACTACATTTTCTGCCTTATGCTTTTTAAATCTTGGTATTTAAATTCAATGATGATTGTACACATAAGTTAAGCAATCATCAGGAGAGGTTATTAAAATGAGCAGGATGCCATCTATTCCCTCAGGGGCTTCCAGTTGAATGAGGAAGTGAGACAATGAACAGACGTTTGAAGTTGGGATTAGAGTTGGGGATAGAGGTTAACACCAAGTGCATAGGGAATTATAGGGATGACCCTGCCCACAGTGGTTGTGTGGGTGTCTGGAAAGTTTTACTGGAATACAGGAA